ATAAAAATAATTAAAATAATTACAACTTTACAAAAAGAGAGAAGTTGCCGATCTTGCCCCTATACCCGGGGCAACTTCGTCAATTTCTCTCTTCTTGTAAAGTTGTAATTATTTTAATTATTTTTATTTCCAAACTGATTTTAACCAGTTCTATAGTAAGGTAACATTCCAATAGACAATATGCATAGCTTTTTTTTCAGTTTACAGCAGTATTTATTACACAAAATTTAAGTAAAGCTTAACATGCCGATCTTGCCCCGATCTCCCCTATCATTCTAATTTTCTTGATAAAATAATTTTTAGTTATATCAAAACAGTGCAAAATATTTTCCCCATCTCTGAAGTGAAACACTATTATAAAAAAAGAAAATCTATAGATTTGTTTATCAAAAAGTTGAATATAATATGCAATAGACATTAAACATTATTTTGTAAGACATTTATAAGAATAGTAAATAAATAAAATAATTTAAGAGTTTTTTTTATTATTATTAATCAACCTCATCAATGTTTACATCGTGATAAAATATACAATATTCTATTCTGTAATCAGTAAGATAATTAAATCGTGTTGAAAATTATATTGTTCAGAATTTACAAAGTTTTAAGAAAGATTTTAAAATCATTTATTTATTAAAAATCGGCTTTTCTAGAACACCGTTTTCATGCAGAGTATAAGTCTACTAGCGTGACTAGTTGCGATTTTAACAACTGGAGAGTATGTTTCTCTTACTGCGGCCATCCATAACTAGCATTATCACGACCTATTACTGGGTCACGACCTACACGTTTGGGAACCGGTGTAGATGAAGACGATTCACGATCTAAAGCGAGAACAGCTGACCCGCTTATTCTCTTCCCGCTCGGAGTCATTGAGCTGATAACACAGCACGAATTTATTTTGTAAGATGATAGAAACGATTTCATTTGTTTACGCTAGCGTAATTATGCTCGTAATGCTAAGAAGAATGGTCAATGTCATATATTCTGAGTAGTTATCGACTCTAGTACTGCGAAATTTATTACTGGAACAATTTCAATACGCGATTATTCAATATCGGAACGGTAGTAGCAATTTTCTTTGGGGATGACTTCCGTAGCCGTTATCTGATGTGGCAGGTGATGTGACAGTAGGTCAAGAGGGCAAATTATCCCGGATAAATAGGTTCTATTACAGGGTGTTCGTATGAGAAAAAAAACAGAAGGGGGAAAGATTTTCTGGTGCAATACAGGTAGTTAACTACAAAAATTAAATTTAAAAAATTAATATCCGATAAAGAATACGTTTATAAAAAATAAAACAACTTCCCCAGGAAATGCTACAAGGACAAAATATTCATATTAATAATATTTTTACGTTTTTTTTCCTCTTGTATTTTTATCTCAATGTCGTTAGATATGTGCATAAAACAATAGTGATTCTGATTTTGTAAGATACTTAGAAACTGTAAGTGATATACTTGTGCCTATTATATAGAAGCTCCGTTTTATTGGAAAAATAATGAGAATAAATGAGAAAAGGGTGGTTACGAGCTACTGGAAAGTACACTCGACAAGCGACCTTGCACTAAATATCTTGGCAAGTCGAAAGGCCATTCTGTGCTTGACTCCGATTGGCAAATCGATCACCTGTCATGGCCTCTGAACGCCACAGATAGGAATACGGTCTCACAGTTCTCTGTTGTTAAATAGTATTTCTTATGAGAATTTATCAACCGTGACTGAATCTTATGCTTCTTATCACTAAACTAACCCATTTTTATTTTTATGACTTTTTAAATAACTAACTGACCCTTACCAGAATTTATTATCTATACACTTTTTATACCTATATATAAGCTTGTAATAAACGTATCCAATATGTATAATTATACGTAAAGTCTATATATACATAGTACTAGATGTAGTGTGTGTGTATATATATAAAATATACATAAATAAAATGACGATTTCTCCTCTCCACTTTCAATTATTGATATTATTATTATGAAAAATTGCAATATTATTATAGATTTACACTATTAAACATGTTATATTTTCCTTAAATTCAAAGTAATCTTTCAAGTATTCGAAAACTGTTAAAAGAATTTAATTTAAAAATATGATACTTTAAAAATAGAATGGCGATTTATATTCTTCAGTTATTATTTACATTACTTATAGCCTAAAAGTATAATAAAATAAATTACAGAACATAAAAACGAAGCCATTCTTACATTAAAATGCTTAATAAATTTTATAAATGTTAAAAATCTAAAATTAGTATGATTTATAAAAATTGCAAAATTTATTTTATTGTTTAATTTTGTGTTATTCTCAAGAGTAATGCGATTCGATCTGCTAATTACGAATTAGCCGTTTACATTCTATATTTGTTACTTCCATTTAGTAGTATATTAATAATTTAGGACAGTTCATAATTTGAGAATCGAGGATAAGGTTGAATATCGATAATAATTTTAACTGGAATACAAAAGGTCAAAGTTTCTGTTAGAATACTCATCACATTAAGGAACCAAAATCTTTAGAATGATAATCAATAGAGTAAAAAGACCCGTTGACTTTTTTTTTTGTAACAAAGATTTGGGTGCAAGTTTGTACTTTATCTATTTCGAATCAATTTATTCTCTCTTAGTCAATCATCTATCTTAAAATAACAATCCGTTGAATGTACTTTTTTGGACCTTATTAGAATTAATCATAATCATAAATAAAAAAAAATACTTTGAGGAAATGGTGACAGAGGATTGACCCTTATTTTTAATAATTTTTGACAGGTTATAGACCTAGTTGTCGCCAAAATATAACAGAGACAGTAGCAAAACTGATAACAGAAAATAATTTAAGTTTGTTCTTTCCGTCGTTTATTCGATAAGATTTTTTTAGATAAAAATAAATAATATTTCAAAATTTTTAATAAATTAAACAGAAACTAAAATTAAACGTAGAAAACATGTTCGAAAGATGTAGAAAACATTTCGTAGACAAACTGCTTATATATTTCTTACTATTGATTTCTACGAAAGAATTCCCGAAGAAAATTGAACAATGTAACGAGATAATTAAGGAAATATCAAAATGTTTGTTGTACTGTTGAACAGCTGACAAGATGACAGGAAATACTAGAAATTCAGAAATGAGGTTAATTTTGGGTGTTGTTTTAAGAACGGACTGCGGTAGAAATAGGTTATGTACAGTGTACGCTCAATTCATTAAATTTCTCTACGACATAGCTTATCTGTAGCCATTGCTTCTAGCTATCAGTGAAGGAAGAAGATCCAGGATATTGATGATAAACTGGACCAGTGGAACAAATGTTACTGATTTATGGATTTTTAATATGTCCTTAATTCTATTTTCCTCATTTTCGTATCACTCATTATTGTCAATAACGTTTTAATTAATATTAAACATTTCTCTTCGAGGGAGATTTAACCAAATTTTCGTCATTCTTCTCGAATTTTAGTTAATAATGTTTATAATGAATTGAGAGTAATGGGTTACATTTTAATACGTAAGAAAGTATGTCCCATTATTCCAAATACGATCAATGAAGATTTATTTACGTTTAAATAATGATATAACCTCTAATATATTTATTTACGAGGATACTAATTAAATTTGCTATCCTGTATACGAATTTACGTCATTACATTCTGGAAATTGTCTCATATTTTATTCTGGTAACTTTTTTTTCCTACGTTACAAGCGCTTGTCATTAAACTCGGCAGCTTGTCAAACGAGTTAAAATATTTGGAAACGTTGAAAATGAGAAAGTGATTGAACTTTGCTGTTTGGCAGTTAATTCGACAGTATAATAGTAAACTAGGTCGTCCTAACTACCCTAATCCTGTTATTACATAGATGACATTTTTCGAAGAAATTAACACAGGATAAGTAATTATTAGGTTAAATAATAAGTACGAAAAAATGACTTTTCGATTTGAATGGATGGTCTTGCTTTTCGGAAATATGTTAATCAAGTTCTATTTTAGTTATTAATAGGGTTCGAAAAAAAGAAAGCTTATTTAAGGTGTCGACTATCGAAACGGGTCGATAAGAGCCAAGTCAAGCAGAGAAAATGGAATTAAAAATTGAACAATGTTTAATTTTTAATTCCATTTTAACAAAATCGGTGGCCCGTTTTGATTCTAAACAAACACTCGAAGTGTTTTGTTATTAGAATGAGGTAAATATTCAAAGTAAACTTCAAAAATTAAAAGAAAAAAATATATACAGAAAAGATATCATTTCAGTAACAAGTAAATTATATTTTAGTTATTTATCTAGACACGAAATTTAAATTTACAACTTATTTACAAAAGAGTGTGCTAGTTAAATGTATAGAAAAGTAGAATGAAGTAAATCTTTTTTTAAGCAAATTATTCTTTTGTTTTGTTAAATTTTCCTACCTAACTGAATAATGGTAGGTTATAGGGATTTTTTTTCAATTAAATACAAACAGTTCGCTCTTGTTCTATCGTAAATAATGTTCGTCGGGTTAAATATATAGGTTGCATTTTTAAGTTTTTATAACATAAACTTACACAATAAATAAGTATAAAAGTTTTAT